ACAAAGAATTCAAATGTCAAAAGAAATAAGAAAGAAACTACAAAAGAAACTCAAATAAAAAATAATGTTTATCCAGAAGATCAAAATAATCTCAGCCTGATATGAAGCTAAAGTAGGAAAGATTCCTGTAAACTTGATTGTGGATACTGGAGCATTAGGATGTGTCATCAGTCATGAATTTCTTAAACAATTAGAAATAAAGATTTAATGAAAATTAAATATTTCCATATCTGATATTAATAAACATTTCAAGCAACTATTAGGAGCTATAGATAACTTCTCTATTACCATTAATAGAATCATAATTCCAGCCAAAGTGAATATTACTAAAGCTCAAACCTATAATCTTGTAGTAGGTATGAACTGGCTAAACAAGATCAATGCTAAAATTAACCTGAAGAAAAATATAATGACCTTTGATTGGAATGAAGAAGAAGGAAGAATGTCAATTAAATTTATCCATGAACAATGAAATACTATACCTGAAGATAATGATGATAATACTGAAACATTCTCTAGTGAAACTTCTGATGATAAGTTTGAAATTGAAGATCAAAATCTAGAAAATTATAATTTTCTTTAGTGAATATCTGATAAATCTTGGACTCAGATTCATACTTCTCCCAGATGATTCAATAATGTAGACTTTGTAAAAGTTTCATACATAATCTTAAACTCAATTCCTAAAGTTAGAAATGTTAAAATCTTTGAAGAAGGAATTCAAGTTAAAAATACCATTCTCACCTGAGAAGAATATTCGAAATTAGAAAGAAGATTCCAGCAGACTCACTATCAAAGTTCTTAATAGACTTTTGATTAGAAAGATCCTGTAGCTGAATGTTAGTGTCATCACAAATTTCTAACATCCAAACATGAATATCCTCAATGTTTTGATAATCTAGTTATCTGGATTAATGTCAAGATGAATACTTCAAATAATCTCTCAACTATTTTACTCCAGAATGAAACTAAAGACTGGTAATTAGAAGTAGAATATATTCAAGAATCAGAGAAGATACTAATTACTAAAGAAAGATTCTTTTCTAAAAGTGAAGTCCTATAAAAATTGAAGCTAGAAGAAAGAATAGTTAAATGTTTATATTATAAATATTTTGTGGTTGGTAAAACTATTTCAGAAGCAAGAGATGGAAATGAATTTGAAAAGCAATACTGTACTGATTATTTTACTCAACAACAACTCAATTTACCTGTCTGTGACTACTGTGGACTTCAAGATAAAGCTAGACACTTTCTTGAAGTCACTTGAGGATATAATAATATTAAATATTTTTGTGACTATACTGAGCAATGTGTGTATGTATTTAATCATGGTGATTGATGAAAAAATAATGGCACTATCAGAAAATTAAGAAGTGATAATAACTTGTTAAATATTTACCAATAATATAATGAAATTGGAAAAGTAATACTTGCCCAATATATTATTAAATATGATAAAGAAGAAGAGATACAATATATTACCTATGATGGATCTGAAGAAGCATCAGCTCAAGAAATCTTCCTGGCCATCTATCAATAACTATCTCTATCCCAAAGAAAACAACTTGCTTAATTGGAATACATTAATGTGAAACTCTGTAATGAATATTTGATTCCTTATAATTCAGATATTTGTGAAGATTATGTACAATCTGAATAAGTTGAAGAGTCACTAAAAGAAAAACAACCAGAACCAAAAAAAGAAGAGAAAGCTGAAGATAGTAATTATAATTCAATTGAAGAAATCCTAAATGAATATTATACAATATCTAAAGATTATAAAGATAAAGTAGAAGAAGAAGAACAACTTGAAGAACAATTAGCAAATTTAATGATCAAAATCTATAATGATGAAGAAAAAGGAAAGATACCTGAACGTACTCATGAATATAATGTAGGCTTTGACCTTAGATATCTTAGAGAAGAAGTAATCCTGGTTCAATCTCATCAGATAATTATGATTAATCTTTATTTGATAATTGAAGTTCCTGTAGGAACTGTTTGTCAACTAATGTCTCAATCATCACTGGCCAAGAGAGGAATTGAAGTTAAAGAAGGAACTATTGATACTGGATATACTGAAAATATTGAAGTTCTTTTACATAATAATTCCTATGAATCTTATGAAATCCAACCTGATGAATGAATTGTCCAAGCAGTCTTTTTACAACTCACTCCAATTAAAGGAATGATACCTATAGATACTAGAGAAGAATTAAGAGAATTATCTTGTGGAACTCAAGGATTTGGATTAACTGAAAAAAATAAAATGGAAGCATACTTTCTAGATAAAGAAGAAATCAAAAAAGTAGTTAAATAATAAGAATTAACACTTGGACAATAAAATGCCTTACATAACTTATTACAAGCATATAAAGATATCTTTGTAATAGATCTCAATGAACTTGGATGAATCAATATTATTCAACATTCAATTGATACTGGAAATGAAAAGTCTGTTCATCAAAAGGCTTACAGAGCAATCCTACCTGATTAAGAATTTATTCATGATGAAATCCAATAAATGTTAGATGCAGATATTATCCAAAAATCCAATAGCCCCTGAATCTCACCTATTGTAGTAGCAGTAAAGAAAAATAGCAAGAAATGATTTTGTGTTGATTATAGAAAACTCAATATTCTCACAAAGAAAGATACTTACCCCTTATCACGAATTGATGAAATAATGGATAATTTTGAAGATGTAAAATGGTTTTCATCTATGAATCTTACATCTGATTACTGACAAATCAAAATAGAACTATCCATATTGAAAAGATAATTTTTATTTTAAGAGAAGGATTATACAAATTCAAAGTTATGCCTTTTGGACTTTATAATGTACCAGCAACTTTTCAATGAGCTATGGATAGCATACTTGGAGATTATAACTGGAAATTTGCCATGATCTATATTAATGATATAAATATATACTCAAAAACTTGGAAAAAATATCTGAAACATCTACAAAAAGTCTTTCAATGAATTAGAAAAGCTGAATTAAAACTCAACTTAGAAAAATATAACTTTACTCAAAATAATCTATCCTTTCTAGAACATATTATTACTCAAAATAGAATTTCATCTAATCTCTTAACTATTCAATAAATTCAAGAATTTCCTATACTAACAAATATCAAGAAGCTAAGATCATTCTTAGGACTAGCTGAATATTACAAAAAATTTATTAAAGGATTCTCACAGATAGCAGCATCCTTGTTTAAACTTTTAAAGAATGATATCATTTTTATTTGGACTATAGACCAAGAAAATGCATTTCAAACTTTGAAAGAAAAACTTACCTCTGCTCCAATCTTGATTTATCCTGATTTTACCAAGAAATTTTATCTCTATACTGATACCTCTGACTCTGGACTTGATGCAGTATTATCTCAGAAAGATGATGAAGGAAGAAAATAAGTAGTAGCCTATGCAAGTATTTCATTAAAACCAGTAGAAAAGAATTATATTATTACTGAAAAAGAAGCTCTGGCTGTAGTCTGGACTGTTAGACAATTTCAACATTATCTTTTTGGATCTCTTTTTGAAATTGTTACTGATCATAATGTACTTTGATGGTTATTTACTAAATAAGTTAATCCTGGACTCCAAATCTCAAGATAGATAATGATCATAATAGAATATAACTTTATTATTACTTATAGAGCTGGAAAGATCAATTAAAATATAGATACACTCTTAAAAATATATTCGCAGGAGTAAAATATTAAATATACTTAATTAATTAACTAATTAGAATAATTTTTACTGAATAACTAATTAAATGATTTACTCAAACCTGATTGATTCAACACAATAGATTTAACAACATATTATAACTTAATGAGATATCTGGAAAATGAAAGTTATCCTGTAGGATATACTGAAGAATAGCAAAAGAAAATTTATCAGCAATCAAAACACTTTAATAATTAATGGAGCACTTTATAAAAAGAATAGAAGAAAAGAATCTACCACACCACTTCGAGTACTGAAAGAAAATAAAATTAAAGCAGTAATAACTAACATATATTCAGATTTACTTGCTGGACATTTTGGATTTGATGGAACTTATCAACAAATTGCTATTAGATATTAGTGAAATGGAATGGAAACAGATATAAAGAACTTTATTAGATCTTGTGAAACTTGTTAAAGAACTGGTGAATGAATAATAAAATAACCTTTACATCCTATTAAAATTGGATAGCTTTTTAATAGAATTGTAATTGACTTTATTGACTCTTGTAAAGTAACTAAGAAAAGAAATCAATATATTGCTGTAACAATAGACTCACTCACAAAATGGCCTGAAGCAAAAGTAATTCCAAATAAAAAAGCTAGTATAATTATCAAATTTATTTTTGAAGAAATAATTTGTAGACATGAATGTTCTAAAGAATTACAGTCTGATCAAGAAACTGAATTTACAGCTCAAGTAATTGAAGAACTTATCACTTGATTTAGAATCAAATATAAGTTTTCATCACTATATTACCCATAGACCAATGGAATAATAAAATGATTTAACAGAATTTTAGGTGGAATACTTCAGAAATATTATATTACATTAGATGAATAATGGGATATATACATACTATCAGCATTATTTGCATACAAGACACTTTAAAATAATATTACCAATAAAGCTGCAAATATTTCTTAAAGTAGTCACTACCTATGATACTACAGCTATGACGTAGAGCTTATATTATCTTTAAGCTATATTAATGTAGGGTAATGTAATGTAAAGATATATGTAACATACATGATATATATAACGTATATAATATATGTGACGTATGTGATGTATGTGATGTATGTAACATATATGATGTATGTGATGTATATGATATATATAATGTATGTGATATATATAGCATATATAATATATATAATATTATGAATATATTATGGTTATATTAAAGATACGTATTGCATATCAAAATTAAGAATTAATTATAATATACCCCAATACTTGCAAGTTTATTTACAAATTATTATTTCTCTTCTGTCTTTCCCATTCTAAAAAAACTACTTAATATATCAGATGGATCATAATCTAAATCACTAGAAGAAATATTTTGAACATTTTGAATTTGTGTTGCTACAAAAGTTTCAGAATGTCCTTCTTTAAAATATTCTGTACTCAAATCAACAATCTTCTCAATTAGTAAAGAATCAGAACTATTATTATCTAATAAACTTCCTTCACTAACCCTTATTTGATCTGCTTCATCATAACTAATGATATTGCCAATTGATGTGATATTACATCCATCTTGAAGATCAAGATCTGTCAATTCTTGATCAGAAAAACTCAACTCGTATCAGATATTAGTCATATAATATAACCTAATTTTGGCAATTGCTTCTAGGTTATTTAAACCCAAGCTAGTTTTTCGTTCTCCCAAAATCCACTTTAGAGCAGAAAAGTTTCTTTCACAGCTAGCTTAAGTAGGATTGATAGAAAAAATTCTATATGCAAGCTCAGCCAGATGTCAAGATTGAGTCTTGATTAAGTTCCACCAAATTTTAGGTGTATTGATATTTGAAACATAAGGAAGATCAAAGGGTGAAAGTTGAGCTTCAAAATGACATAGTTGAGCAATTAATTCTTCACTTTCAGATTGAGTATGTCCTAAATTTTGCCACAACTCAAGAGAAATAAGAGTTGTTTTATGAAAAGTATTATCTCTTAATTCTTTTCCTAAAGTAAATAAAATAATTAGTATTATTAAAATTAATTTATTTTAATTAAATATAAGAAATTGCTTATCACGATATTATAGATGAATATAATAAGCCAGAATATAAAGTGGATGCAAAAATTCTTAATAATAGCAGTTAAAAATATAGATAGCTGGAATCTTGAAAGTATTTACTTCAGGTAAGTGATTAATTGCAACTGCCAATTTTATTAAATAAATAAAATAATCAACTAATATTGCATTATTTGCTTCCAAAATATAAATAACTTCTTTGATAGATTTCTAAATTGAGCGTATCATTTGACAAGTTGAGAAAAAATCTTCATTGGTCATTAAATTAATAACATCTTCATTAGTAATTATCTCTCAATGTTCAGCAAGAATCTATAATTAAATAATAATATAAGATTTTAATATAATTAATATAAATTTTATTGGCTAATACTTATCCAATCAAATATAGATCTTGCATGAAGTATTGAATCTGTTGTCATAAATAAAGATCCTCACCAAGTTTTTACCCAAGTCTTTAATCCACCATCCTTAATTTTCATATCAGCAAACTCTTTGGTAATTAGTGAATGACCAGCATGTGAAGTTTTGAAAAAATAGTTGATTTTTTCATAATTGCTAATCAATTTTTTCAGATTCTCCAATTTTACTAAATCAGCTGCAATTAGATTGATAGCGTGGGCAGCGCAATGGATATTCCAAATATGAGGATAGGTGTCTTGTATTTTATATCATGCTACATTGCAATTTGAAGTAGCATCTGTTATTACAACAGTAAATTTGTCCATTCCAATTTTTTCAATAATGTCTGATATTTCATTGGCTAAAAAATCATCAGTATGAGATTGTGCCAAATAATCTCGAAGATTGAGAAGATATTCTTTTTGCATATTAGTTGTAACGATGTAATTGTAAATCAATTCTATTGTTGGTGTAGTTTAACCATCTAAAACTTTATTATCAATATAAAAAATTATTAATATATATATATATATATATTAAATTTTATTTAAATATAATATTATTACCTAAAGTTAGATAATTTGTTTTATCTAAATCATTATCAATTACTTGATTTACCCATGCCAACTCTTCATCAAGAAGTCGACCTAATAAAATATTTCTAGATGGTAGATGATATCCTGGTTGAAATTCTTTGAACATGTCTTGAATAAATGGATTTTCAATAACACTGAAAGAAATTCTAGCCATTATCCATACCTTTAATATTCTTTGATCAAATTGATGAATAGTTACATTTGGTAAAGAATGATCAGATATATAATAAGAGTTGATTGTTGTTTAGAAAAATGGTGATGGTAAAACTTGGTTTTTTGAGTTACGCATATAACTTAGATTATATTCAGCAACTTTGTTATACCAATATCATAATATTACATCAGAATACAGAGTATATTCATTCACCAAATATGCTTCCAATTTTGCTGGTTTGTCTCTTGCCTATTTTTTCTTATAATAATTATATATAGCTTCATAATATCTATTGCTTTTTTCCTTTCCCATTAAAAAATAATTCCATATCTCTGAAAATTGTTTGGTTTTGTTCTTTATATTGTCTTTTTCTTTTTGGCCTTAATTTATTACCGTGAAATTAGTAGTGCCAGTTGTAGTAGTTATTATATCAGCTGTAGTCATATCAGTTACAGTAGTCATATCAATAGTAGTTATCCAATAATAAGAGTCTTCTGAATCATTATCTTGACTTAGTTCTTCAAATAAATATCTATTCCATTTGTGTAAGATTTCTTCTTCACAATCTATTGAGAAAAAAATAGCACGTGTGATCGGATGTGTGAAAAATGATCAAGAAAGATAATACAGAATAGCTACTCTTGCTATATGCAGTGTCTGCTAGAGTTATTACTCATAGTCATTACTGACATGCCAATCTTGGATCTCTTTCATAGCCAGATCATTTCATTTGTATATTGAAATTACATGTAAAATGGATTTTATGAGCTTGACATATAATATTATATTATATTACATTATATTACATCACACAGCATATGGCACATTATGTAACATATGTCATAATATATGGCAAACATCACCTATTATGTCTTATATCTCTGACTACGTCATACGTCAAATTAACATAGAGACATGATATTTGCCATAGAAGTAGCTACTCTAGATCTGAGAAATGTCTGCAGCTCTAACTACCAAACATGAATCTTTCTTCTTGATTTATGGAAGAGATATTCAATTACCAATCAATTTGAAATATTTATCACCAATAGCAGAAAACAAAAATGAAGAAGATGAAATATTAGATCAAATATTTTCATTAATCTATCATCTATCAGATGATATCAATACAGTATAGAATCAAATCAAAAGATAGTAATAACAGATGAAAGTAAGATATGACTAAAAATTATAAAGAATCACACAATTCAAAATTGATAATAAAGTTCTAGTATATAATATGAAGCAACATGTTACTCACGGAAATAAATTTTAGTCACAATAGAGTACAGAATAGTTCTATATTCATGAAACTCTTGGTAATGAAGCTTATAAATTGTGAAATCAATGTGATCAACTATTATGCAAAACTTTTAATAGAACTCAACTAAAGTCTTATCAAAATAGAGAAGAATACTTTGAGTCAAGAATAATTATTGAATATATAGAAACATCAATAACAGAAGAGGAAAATGAAAAATAGATTTTTAGTTCCATGATATTTATTTATTTACCTCTTAATTTATACAAATCTTATTTAGTAGCACATGCATATATATATGCTGATCATTTATTAAAAATTTCATTTTATAAATATAAGACTTTTATTTCAATATTTTCTTTAAATTTTTATCACTTTTAATTATTTTAATATTTTTATTAATTAGTTTAACTTCTTGTTAATATTTAACTTTTAAAAAGATGAATATTCTTTTTAGTAATTTTGATTTTATTCAGAATATTTTGATCCTTCATCAATAATTGAAAGATAACAAATTTAGTGAAACTTTACAAATTTGAGAAGATCAGTTAATACTTGATAATAGTAATCAGAAAGTAGTATATGATCTTGTTACTGGAAGATAACTTAATATCAGTATAATTTTGAAAATATCTCAAGAACCAGAATCAATAATAGAAGAAGTCTCAACTTCAATCAGTAATCCACAAAGTAGTCCTAGAATAGAATGATTTATGGATATAATTAATACAGAAATTTTGAGAATAGCAATTACAATAAATATTACTTATCAATTTCAATCTAACTAAAGCTAGAAGACAAGAGTTCAGATAATATTTAATGATCTATTTGAAAATTGTGATAATTAATTTGATGAATCACAATTTATTAGATATTATTACTTTAGATAATTATTAAAAGAAATGTCTAGACAACACTCTCAAAAATTAATAGAACTACAAAAAGAAATGACATAATTAAAAGGAGTTACTTTAATCAGAAGATACTTCCTTCTTGAAAAACAGATTTACCAACTATTAGAAAAATATGGACTTAAGAAAGCATACAACTTCTAATGAATTACCTATAATGACCTGATATATATAAGAAATGAAAAAATCAAAGAAATTTTGAAAAGAATTTAATAGTCTTATTAGAGCTCAATCTTACTTAGAAGGACCAAATATTACTATAGTAATATAAATTTCTTTAATTTTATAATTTTTCAAACTTGAAAAATTTAATCAATCAATCAATCTTTAGAAGATATGTGATTTCAAATAATATAATTAGTATATTATTTATGGATTTAATCACAGTTCAATAATATTTTTGCAATATTCTTGTAACATTTTTGCAATGTTCTAAGATCATTAATAAATAATTAGTCCCAAAATTAACAACAATTCACAAACAATTTAATAACAGTTTAGAAATGCTTTAGAAATGGTTCAGTAATGAATTTTATTTATTTTTATTATTTATCTTTTCTTT